CATTTACATTATATTAGACCCTCTTCACACGACACAACAAAATCGGATTTTAAATCCTATTTGACAAGAATATTGGTTTGCGTTTACACAAATTCTGGATAAAATGACGATGAATCCCTAGTCAAACCACTTGAGGTAGATAGTTTGACATCCGAATTCAACTAACATTAGATTTGAGCCTAGAATAAATGTACGCGATGACGCAAATACATATTCTAATCCAGAGTATCGGTGCGTATGTTTTCCATTCACTATAAGTAAGAGCTTGAAATATGACTTTGAAGGATGGTTAGCACTAATGTACTCTGACCTCTAGTTGTTTCTCTTTTCTTTTTCTGTTTTTTTGTTAGTGACTATCCTATTGTAACCTTTATTTTTTTTTTAATTACTAAGGATTTGCTACCCTAAAAAAAGATTACCTAAGCTGTATTTAGTAAAACTTTTCGGAAAGTTTGGTCTTCACTGCTCTTCAACTTCGTACTTTATTTGGACTTTTTAACTGTTTTGATTCGAGCGTCACTGAGGAGTCATTTGTAGACGAAACGTACGTCTGGCGTACAAAATGTTAATCCTGGTATCTATGATGAGAATATTTGACTTTTATCAAACATATCTTTTTCTATAAATTTGTTCTTTTGAGAGCATATTCAGGTATTCATAAAACTTCTGAAAACAAGATATTCTTCAAAACTAAGATTTTCCTGTAGAATATATGGAATGATTAAGGTAACTTCAGGAAAATACCACCTATATACCATGAGTGCAGAGAGCTTCAATAATGAGTATAAGAATAATTGAAAGCATTCAGGAAACAAAATTTGATGATATGAAAGATAAAATAAATGCATACAGGTTATAAAGCAAACTGAGTGCTGAAATTTATATTGCGATTGGTCTGTGCAATTTGTTCCAAACATCGGATTTGCAAAAACTGGGAATTGCAATAGGATTAGGACTTTGTATATCAAACACGAAGCAAAACTAATGTATGCTCCCAAGTAATAAATAAAATAGTCAAGCCTTAAAAGGAAAATTTAAAAATATATCTGTATCCACTTTTCTATTTACAACTAAAATACAACAGCGCTTTTAATTGACTTGTGCAATAATTTACACACAATTACATTTTTACAATCAAGATGTTTTAACATCATCATTACCCTATCCTATCCACAGTCAATTATTCCAAATCAAAAGCAAAAGAATCAGCAACAGTATTTTGGTGATCGGTCAGCGGTCTCGGGTTCACGTGTTGCTTTTTCTTCTTTTTTTTATTAAAGAAAGCAAATTATTTATCCATTGACACAGGCTGAAAAGATCTGGAATATGGGCGCAAGTTCACAAGATATGTGTGTCATGTAACATTGTAGATGACATCTGACCTTAACCTCTGATCTGAAATAAAAAACAAGTTGCTTTCTTTAAAAGAAAAAAGCAACACGTGAACTCGAGACCGCTGAAATTTTTGTTTAAGGATGATGTTAAAACGCCTATATTGAAAATATGTAATTATGTGTAGATTCTTGTCTGTGACATAATATATTGTTAGTATAAAAGTCCCAGATTCTTGCACAAGTCAATTAATAGTTATCAAAGGTACCATGCTTATAATTTAATACGCCAGACGCGCGTTTTGTCTATATAAGACTCATCAGTGACGCTCAGATCAAAATAGTTATAAAGCCAAACAAGTACAAAGTTGAAAAGCACTGTTGGATTTTAGTTGTAAATAAAAAGTGTATACAGATACCATTTGGATTTACCTTTTAAGATTGATTAGTTTATGACTTGGGAGTGTACACCATTTTTTCTTCGTGTTAAATATACATATATATTGCAATTACTAGTTTCTTTAAACCGGATGTCTAAATCAAATTGCACAGGCCAATCGCAATGTAAATTTCAGCACTCAGTTTGCTTTATAACCTGGATGCATTTATCCTATCTGTTATATCTTCATATTTTGTTTCCTAGATGCCTTCAATTATACTCATACTCACTATCGAAGCTGTCAGTTCTCATGGTAGAGGTGGTATATAGAAATTGAAAGTCCAATTTCCATGTGAAATGTAACTCTGTGGCATGCAACTTATATGAAGGTTTCGTATTTTGTTCTTGTGAGTATCACACAAGCTTCATTAGGACGTCTTATATAATGACATTTTTTTTTTGGTTTCATAAAACATCTCAAATTTAAGGATTTCCTGAAGTTACTTCAATCCATCCAAATGGTCTACAGGAAAACTTAGTTTTGAAGAATATCTTGTTTTCAGAAGATTTATGAATACCTGAGTATGCTCTCAAAAGAACCAATTTATATAAAAAGATATGCTTGGTAAAAGTCAATAAACTCATTATCGATACCAGGATTAACATTTTGTACGCCAGATGCGCGTTTCGTGTACAAAAGACTCATCAGTGACGCTTGAATCAAAAAGTTAAAAAAAAAAACCAAATAAAGTACGAAGTTGAAGAGCATTGGGTACCCATAATTCCGAAAAAGTTTTGCCAAATACAGCTAAGGTAATCTCTTCCTTGGGTATGTCGAAATTTTCAAAGTTTATAATAGGACAGTCACTCAAAAAAAGTAAAGGAAAAGAGATACGAAATGCGAAAATTCACATTCCCCGAACAAAATTATCATTTTAGCATGCATGTTGTTTTCTGTGTGTATTACATTTTAATGTTGTGTTTCTGTTGTGTCGTAGTTCTCCTCTTATATTTGATGTGTTTCCCTCAGTTTTAGTTTGTAACCCGGATTTGTTTTTTTCTCAATCGATTTATGAATTTCGAACAGCGGTATACTACTGTTGCCTTTATTTATTTCTTGCGCAAGTAATAGTAAATGGAATACATTACTTTGATATTATGGATAAGAATATGCATTTGCGTTATCACATATCTTCATCCTAGGCTCAAATCTAATGTTCGTTGAATACGGATGTCAAACTACCGCAAACCGATATTGTTGTCAAATCGAATTGTGTCGGGTGAACAGGGTGTAATATAACGTAAATAAACCAAGACGTGTTTAGGACAGCTGGTCAACACAATGCATACAATTTTTAAAATCGCATCATATTGCAAAGATTTAAATGCTATAAAGTTGAACTATTAAAAACACACAAAAAATTTGAAATTTGATTAACATACATTCCTGTTAATAAATCTTTTCCGAAAATTTAAAATATACTATCAATAAACACAAACGTCACGTAATAGCAAATAGACATTTTATATCATATCAAAGTCTTCTTCCAAGTCTCACTTTCCATTTTATAGATATATTGCTACATGTAAACAAAATATAAGTAGAGACATATAAAACTATACTCAAACGGTGTCAAATATTAAAGTAGTAAATGAATGATTATTGTAAAATATTAACTACGTTTTTGTAAGATGCAAGGATTTAAAATCCTTGTAAATTGAAACAACTAATTTTTTTTTCATTCACTACACTCAGTTTAAATTTTATATACTAATTTATGTGTGTACATCCCTGGCAATTGATTCTCATATGTTGCATGTAATTTTCATAAATGTATTCACTGTTAAAGGGGCATTAGTTGTCAAATTCATGTTCACCGATTTGACTCAAATTTTCATATTTGATTTATAACATACTGAAACGTATATCTAAATTACAATAAGTCTGAAATAAACAATTAACACTGCACGGACTCGATAATATTTATCAGCATTTCTTGTGTATCTTAGTCTAGACGCCATCTAATTAACCATCGAGATGAACTCCGAAGACTACCGACGGTCACATAACCCGATATAAACATAAACATAAATATAAATAGATAGCGACCTCATGCAATTGGTCTGTTTGATTTCATGAAATAGGTTAAAAAATAAGTTAATCATCATTTTTACCTTTTTATGAATGATTTTTTGAGGATCGAATCAGTCAACGAAATGGTTCATCCTTGTTTCACTTTCAATGTTGACATTCTTTTCCTTTTAATGGCTGAACACGACTAATACATGCGTAACCAATCTCTAGCTAACGGGTTAAATTGAAGGTCACATGAATACGGATTCAATTAGGTCGAATTACTCACTTGCAAGTGAAAAATTCATCAGTGATGTTTCTTAGCATATTTTGACAAAATTGAACTAAACTGGCTGCTAAAAGCGAATTATCATTTCACTATTTCACTTTCATTAATGATTGAACAAAAAAAATCCTATTTTATTTTTTTTTTTATATCTCGTAGCTAATGCCCCTTTAAAACCCATGGGACATATACTATAAAATCATTAATTATATTCTATTAATGATAAATTTAGTTTCAGTTTTAACTTAATGATTTTAATCAATATTCCCTTGCTCTGTTAGTATCTATGATGAAGTTGAATATTTTTTACTGAAATATCGTTTTGTTTAATTGTATATCTGCGTTCCAACCATTGTGTTTCCGACCTAAGATAAATATTTTTAACAGAAATATTGTTTTGTCAATTTTCATCTTGCTTTCCGACATTTGCTTAGGCTATGAAGGAAATATAATATATTGCCAGTATACTGTTCCCATGTGTATTGTCACAATACAAAATAGCACGTTGTATTAATTACTGCACACACAACGCGCACAGGGACTGTCTCAAAACATAAATTATATAATTGCGTTATCATTATACTTGATATTTAATAAACATTCACATTAAAACGCATATGTTCTGTCAAATGGCAAATAGGTTGGAATATTTAAAGTATTTTTTACTGCGATCTAATCTTTACTTTTTAACTTTCCGATCTACAAATGAACTTTGATTGTTGAAATATATAATGCCACGTGGTAGCCTACCATAAGGGACTGTATCAAAGACATATTTACTACCTGTATAAATGATCGATAATTTTCGAGACGTTCCCAGAATCTTGTTTCCGAGGATATCTGAATGGACCATAGAAGCTTCACGCAAAAAAAATATTTTAATTATAAAAACAAGAAGGATCATTTAATTTGTATTTGTATTCCTTTCAGAGCCTAAAAATGGCCTCATCAGTTTCACCGTTATGTACCCTTTGTCAGGATGATGACATGTCTATTGCGGCATTGACATGGTGTACAGATTGTGAAACATTTCTGTGCTCGGATTGCGATAGATATCATGGGAGAATAAAATCAACCAAACACCATAAAATGTTGTCCATAGAAGATTATTGTCAGCTGCCTAAATTTATTCTTCAAACAGGAAATAGATGTCGTGAGCATGATAAAAAGTATAAACTCTATTGCTCATTCCACGCATGCGCGTGTTGTTTCCAGTGCTTTACAGAAAGTCATCCGAACTGCAAAGAAATAAAACAACTGTCGGATGTTTTGAAGAATGTGAAGTCGTCTGCTTCTGTTTCGAGATTAGAAAGCGATTTGTCAGATCTTAAAGAGAATTTTGAAAACATAACTAAAAGTTTGCAAGAACGCATAAAGGTCATGCAAAACCAGAAGGCGTCTGCATTAAAAGAAATAAAGCGTGTACGGAAAACAATTAATGAGTATCTTGACAAACTAGAGCACAAAATGGTCAATGACTTAAGCATTGAACATTCAAAAGTGGAACAAAATACCGATGAAATGATCATCCAAATTAGAAGCAAATTGGAACACGTTGTGCAATTGCAACTGGATTTTTCAAAAATGATCAAATTTGCAACCGAAATGCAAACGTACGAAGGGCTTAAAGAAATGGAAAAAACTTCTACCAACGAAGCCAAGTATATCGAAACTTTGAACAATTCGGGTGGCCTCAACGATATAAATCTAGTGGTAAATTTTTCACCAGATTTATATGCAGTTCTTCAAGATGTGAAGTCAATGGGGAAAATATCAATTACCTCTAAAAAGAGCAATTTAAAACTAAAAGTTGGTCAAAACAGTCAAGCTCAGCTTTTATTTCAAATGATTAAACCAATCAATGAAATAGAAGCAGTACTGAAAAAAACTTTCAGTTTACCAAATGATATAGGAAGTCTATGCATTACAAGTTGTAGCATAATATCAGAAGGTCAACTGGTATTTGCGGATCAGAATAACGAAAGTTTGATTTTATGTGACAAAAATGGCGTGTACGTCAGGAACATTTTGAAATTTTCGAGCTATCCGTCTGATATTTGCCACATCAGAAACAACATTGTCGCTGCAACGTTACCTGACGCCCATCAAATTTTATTAGTTGATGTAAAAACAAATAAAATAGTTCAAACTGTTAAAGTAAAGTCAAAATGTTACGGTGTTTATTGCGATGGAAAAACAATTTCGGTTAGACTGCCGGAGGAAAAATCTGTCGTTATTCTAAGCATAGACGGCAATGTAAAACACACTTTATCGATACCGGGAATAAATGTAAAACGTTTTTCGACTTTTAACCAGAACCGTTTCTTTATAAATTGGAAGGAAAATGATGTTCTTTGCTACAACAGCAATAGCGACTTAATCTGGAAATGTAATGAAAACATCAGTGATCCCTCTGGAATTACAATTGACAAAAATGGACTTATCTATATTGCATGCGACCAAAGCAGCAAAATCGTAATCTTTAGTAATGATGGCAAATCGAGTAGACCATTGTTGTCTTATGACGACGGAATCCGCAATCCCTGGGCACTTGATGTTGACAGAGAAACTTCAACACTTCTTGTCGCTAATCGAGATGGGGCATCAATTTTCCTTTACCAACTATAAAATACTAAAATTGTTAGATCAGTTTTCATGTCATAAAAAACTATTGTTGGGTTGTGTGCGTATCAAGAAAAAATATCTTCATTTATGCACGCATTTATGACGATTTTATTTTTCACCCTTTACAAGTACGGGATGCTTGATTTATACTTTTTGATGCATAAAAAGAGATAGTAGGGATACGTTAATAAGACAGCAATCCAACAACACAGACAACAATCAAAAGAGGTCATCATATGAGTCGTCAACAACAGACAACGTTACACCACTTCCCAAGGTTAGGAGAGGGTTTAACGCTGATAAGCATATTTTTTGGTCATATACCTTTCACTGTAACGTTTCTTATACATCATTGGCTTTCGAATATTCGGCTTTGAGCGTTCCTGTTGAATGTTAATCCAGAAAAGCACTTCAGACGTATGACATTTATGAAGTGTTACTTTCATTTTTAACTCCGCCAAATTCGTTATGTACCTGTCTAAAGTCAGACGCCTATTATTCAGAGGCTGTCATTGATTGCTGGCAGCCATATTTGTTTTCGTTTATTGTTTTTAGCATAATTATGGCCGTTGGTTGTCTTTCTTTGAATTGTTTCACATTGTGTCGTGTCGGATTCTTTTATAGCTTAATTTAAAGTATTTGTTTTGCTCATTGTTAAAGGCCGTATGGTGACCTATAATTATTTACATCAACGACATATTGGTCTCTGGTGGAAAGTAGATTCATTGGCAATTTTACCACATATCCTTATTTTTTTGTTCCCCAATTTTAAACTTGTGTCAAAAGACAACTACTTGGTAAGACAATCTGTATCTCTGTCTATGCAATCCTTATGGAAAGAACGTGTTATGAATTTTCATACGTGAATACGCAGTAAAAATTCAAATCAGCTCACATGTTCAGTCCACTTGCTTTTAAGAGGCAGAGATTCAGTTTGTTCCACCTAGCAGTTGGTTCGCATCGCAAAAATTGTAAATTTGAAACAAAGTCTGTCATTGGTAAATGGCATATTATTATAGGAAACAGAGCATCATTATGATTGTTATTAGATCTGACCGGAATCCTTGAAGATGTGAATGGAACAAAGGACCAAAGCACGAATAAAACAAGATGTAAATGGAACAAAGGACCAAAGCACGAATAAAACAAGATGTAAATGGAACAAAGGACCAAAGCACGAATAAAACAAGATGTGAGAAAAAAAAAATAAATGAGACAGCAATCAAACTGAGGACATATCAAAACAAAACAAAACGAATTACGATGCAAAATATATGAATACGAAAATGAATAAATCACGCCGTTTGTATTGTCTTTTGAATTATTTTACATTTTGTCAAGTCGGTTTAGTCGTTTAAGACTAACTAATATACGTTATGTGATTTGCTCATTGTTGAATGTAGTACGGTGATCGATGACCTTTAGTTTCTAGCAATCTAATTGAAATATAGATCTCTAATTTCTGTTATCCTCATATGAGCTTATATATACGAGCACGCGAGTTACTATAAATTAGAATTTTAAACATTCAGATTGAGTTTCTAGTGGATAGTTGTCCCTTTGGTATTCAGTCTACTTCTCTTGATTTTTATAAATTATCCTGGATAAAAAAGTTTTATAAATATTTGTCAGCTTTTCAACAAGGGATGTCACGTGGTAACATATTCCTGCTTCATAGATATTATAGGCTAGTTATCTCCCTTGCAACATACGGGGTGACCGAGCGCACGAGACAGATTGTCACGCTGACAAGTTCCTCATAGGAATCAGTCCGTAGCGATTCCCTCAAGGAACATCGCGGATTAATCCAAAAATAGTTCGTACACATCGTGTGTGATAGATTCCTCTAAGGCATCATTAAAAAAAGTAATATATTAAGGTATCATGTCTAAGGTATGACACATTCCACTAATGCAGTTATCATACAATACTACATGTCAGAATCCTCTAAGACATCACTGTATAAAGTTATCATACAAGACTATATATATATATGACAGATTCCAATAAGGCATCATTCTATTAAGGAATCGTGTAAGACAGACACCCCCCCCCCCCCCCCCCCCCCACCCACCCCCCAGGCATCGATGAATAAAGGTATCATACTATATAACATAACAGATTCCTATAAGGGATCATTGTACTCAGGAATCATGTCTGACAGATTCCCCTAAGACATTGTTTTATAAAGGCACAGTGCATAAAGTTTATTATACAATATTAATGACAGATTCCCCAAAGGCATCATTATGTAAAGAAAGATCCCCCAAAGGCATCATTATACATGTAAAGATATCATGTGTGACCTGTTCCTTTATGGCAGCATTGTGTAAAGGTATCATGTATTACAGATTTCTCTGAGGCCACACCAAATAAATTACTTGTTCTTTGGAATCAGTCGCCCCTAAAAATTCAGTTTCAACATAAAAATAGAAAATGCTCCTCTTGATTTCTTTAAGATTTCCCACTTTATTTTTATTCAGTAGGATTTTATTTTGAAACTGAATTTTAAGGGGCGACTGATTCCAAAGAACAAGTAATTTATTTGGTGTGGCCTCAGAGAATGATGTCTTAGAGGATTCTGACATGTAGTATTGTATGATAACTGCATTAGTGGAATATGTCATACCTTAGACATGATACCTTTATATATTACTTTTATTTAATGATGCCTTAGAGGAATCTATCACACACGATGTATACAAACTATTTTTGGATTAATCCGCGATGTTCCTTGAGGGAATCGCTACGGACTGATTCCTCCGAGGAACTTGCCAGCGTGACAATCTGTCATCTCGTGCTGTCGAGTCACCCTTGTTATCAGAGCCAAACAGATAAAGGACAGGGAACCAGCCTGATTGATATGATAGATAACGTCTACGTACTGACTTGTGATTTTCCTGCTATACAGGAATCTAGTTGTCAAATATGTGCTGATGAAAATTTCTCTCCCCTGAACGACCACGGACAGCTGTCCGATCCGCCTGCGTTCCTTCCCCGCTAGATAATGTGGCGTACGCGTAGTCGAATTACAGCGTTCTTTTATTTTGTTTTGAATCTGATAGCAGAATAAGTCCGAAAAATTCCATTTTATCGAGGAAATCACCAATGATATGATACCATGTTCAGAATAATTTGTTTTCTGAATGAAAAACATTGTATAGTCGTTGCATTTTTTACCGTTTAAAATTTTTGTGAAAAAAATGATATCGCAATCTATACTGTTGATCATCCTAATAACAAAACATAATCGGTTTTGATAAAAAAAAAAGATAAATCAGAATGTTCTCATTGTGTCCACTTTTTAGAAGTCTAATGCCGCTCAGACTTGCTTCGAAAATATTTTGATGAGCCACCTTTGTAAATACTTTGATGTGCATATGTATGAATGTCTTTTTTCTGTGTTTTAAATAAAATTTGGACAAATTAGGACAGTATTTATTTATTTTTTTTGGTTAGTCAATCTTAGTTTGTTAATATTTGTGTACTAAAATGTACAAGTGTAGCATGATGGTAATCTAGCGAATAATTCCGCTAAAACCGGAGCACGGAGTCTTCTTTAACCTGCAGTGAGATGTGATATAAGTGCTTCGAGTTGAAGGCCTCATTGTATCTTCGCTGTTCTTTTTCCTTTTTTTCTACGTTCGTTCAGGAATTTTACATTATATCGTTTCTAGCATAACACAATTTAAAAGGTATGGCCAGTTTTGGGGAAATAATTAGATTTTCAGCAGACGACAGGCTGTCATATTGGAGGGTTTACATTGGGGTCTTCATTTCTATATTAATTGATTTTTATGACATTTATATCTATTCTTTATTCTATTTGCCCATCATTCTCAACACTTTATATTTTAGAACCATTATTCTCATTTCTTTATTTATCTACCCATTTTTTCTATTCTATTTCTGTTTAGTCCATTATTTGTTCTTTTAACCACATATAGACCCTCATATTGCCCACTTCGTACAGGCATCTTCGTTTCAGTTTCAATCAAACCCCACTAGGGAATCAATGTAAATAGTGTGGGGGGGGGGGGGGGGTTTTGTATTCGCAGTTTAATTGGCGACATCCAGTAAAGGTAGCTACACAAGATTTGTGCATACAGAGAGTCTAGCATATTTTCTAACATGTGTTTCATTTAAAGTGTCATGGAAAATGTCAGAAAATAATTGAATACATTATAGTTTCTTCTGCTAACAAAACATGCCGTACGGTGACCTATAGTTGCCGCAAGTTACCCTCTTCGTCATTTGGTCTCTGGTAGAGAGTTGTCTCATTGGCAACCATACCACATCTTATTTTATATAATGAGTGATCCTCAAAAGTGGATATCTAGGGACCTTGGGCTAATTGGTTGATCTCTATAAAGCTAAGCTAGCTAGAAAAATGACATTTAAGCAAGGGTCCAGCTTGAACATGTTTGTATGTGACACAGAAACAAATAATGCAAATTGATGCAAACAAAGCAATCCCATCTTAAGTATCAATTTTCGTGGATTTCATGTGACAAATGAACCATAGCATATGAAGCACAACAACTTTACAAAACTGTGTACAAGTCCTAATTATCCGTTTGGAGAATTTGCTTTCACAAAGAAAATCAGTTCTTTAAATATGTATTTTTTTTAACAAAAAAACTAAATTTTTAACCAAATTAATATTTAGAAATATTTACAAAAAAATGCCAATGAGACAACTCTCCCCCAGAGACCAAATGGCATAGAAGTTAACAAATATGGGTCACTGTACGGCCTTCAACAATGAGCAAAACTCATACCGGATAGTCAGCTATAAACGGCCACGAAAAGACAAATGCAAAACAATTCAAACGGGAAAAATAACGGCCTGATTTATGTACAAAACAATGAACGAAAAACAAATATAATATACAGCAATAGACGACAACCACTGAATAAGACGCTCCTGACTTGGGACAGGCACATACAGAATGTGGCGGGATTAAACATGTCTGCGGGACCCCTAACCTGGGACAGTGATGTAACAGCACAACACAAGAACAAACTATAAAAATCATTTGAAAAGGGCTTAACTCATCAGATCGACACAAAGCAGAAACCCAAGAAACTAACACACTTACCGGACGTGGCAGGATATTTACACATCACTAAAAAAAACAAAAGAAGACACAAAGTACAGATCTGAGAGTACTCGCAGTTACTGACAGCTAGTTCAAAGCCAATAACAACTAAAAAAAAAAACATGCATCTAAGACAAAAATATCAATCAGTGCACATCCAACATCCAATGGATATAGTGTAAAAAGGTCATTAACAATCAAGAGAAAAACACAGACCGGACGTTGCAGGATATTTATACATGTATGTAGGTGACAACATTGCAATATTTGTGTAAAATTTATTATTCTTATCACATAATTAGTACACGTAACAACATTAAGTATTTAAAATACATTTAAAAAAAATCAAAATTTAAATATTCTTATCACATATTTAGTAACAAAATTAAAGTATTTAAAACAAAAAGACTAAAACACAACTGTAAATAAACATTATACAAAAATAATATAAAAACAATTACAAGAAAATCATCCAGCAACAAGTATACTTATTCATAAAGGAACACTTAAACTGCTACGTTTAAGAACTTTATTCATATATAACAACCGACCGTGCGAGACGCTCATGAGTAATCAAGGTCGTTAAACACCCCCCCCCCCCCCCACCCCCCACCCCACCCCACCCCCTTAGTACATGTAGCAGTATATTCAACAAAAGTCTATATAAATGAAATATCTTTATCTGATTAAAGTTCGGTAGTTGAAACCAGATTTTTTTCTACATCTATATAAAAGTAAAAAAATGTGGTTTGATTGCCAATGAGACAACTCTCTACAAGAGACCAAATGACACAGAATTTACCAACTATAGGTCACCGTACGGCCTTCACCAACGAATAAAACCCACTTTACATTTATGTAATTCCTTCAAAAATATATTCCGAAAAAAAGAAGGAATTTTGGTATAAAATTGATTCCATATAAAATCGGCATTATGCTGTCTACAGCGACGGGAGCTTTTACATTTTTAAATTACAAAATATGGATGTCAACGTAAAAATAAATCTCAAAAAATGTGCAAAATGTATGTTTGTTTTGAACTAGTTCATGCATTAGTCAACTTATTTTTAAATTTACAGTGCAAAATAACTAAAACTGTATAAAACAACATGTCCTAGCATTCTTATGTTTGATGTCTTATCAACTGGGGTTAAACATTGGGAAAATGTTCAGTAAACTACCAAATAAGGGGAAACAACTTTCTAAATATTTTTTTTTAACTACCATTACTGACACAGAACAAAAATCAATAATATTAATAAATTAATTTATTAAAACAATAATAGAAAATAAAAAGAAGATACAAATGCAGCAATCAAAATTCATAAATCGATTTAAAAACAATACTTTGCCTAAAAGGTTTAAGACAAAAGGTAGAAAATATTAACAAAAACATTACACTCTACATAATGGTTACGAATCGATTCACACAAAAAGACAGGTACCCCGACAGAGTGCCGTGTTCCTGGTTTCAGTAGTGGTGCGCGTAGCGTCGTTATTGTAAACTGAGCACGTTATCTACCGCTAGGTTTCTGTCTTATTGATGTATAGCCCAAATCTCCTTTTATTCGAAGAGAGAAGGAAAAGATTTTTGCTTAGACATTTCGAAGGTAAATATTAAAATTTTACAATCCCCTCCTCCTCCCTTTCTTACCTCCACATATTGAAGATTTATAAATAAATATATTCGTATCTCTATCCTTACACATTTAGTACTTTATGACTGCATTACAGTAAACATTATATTTAAAAAAAATTAAAACTTATTTAAAATACTTTTGATTTAATACTCACCATTTTATAAAAGTAGTTAAAAAATGATCAACTGAATTCGTTCTTTTTTAATTATCTCCCCTTTAAAATTTATCTTAATTGTTAATTTTACATAATTCGGAAGAATGACGCCTAATGTTACATTCCTCTATTGTGGGGGGGGGGGATGGATAGGATGGGTCTGAGTCATTATTCTTTTAAAAAAACCTCAAATGCAAACCCAAATAAGGACTGTAAAAGCAATTTGTTTTTTTTTTTGTTTTCAAAGAAATTTAAAAATTATCCCCTACAAATACAAATTCGGTGCAATAGTATTTCATGACATTTACTAAAATATGCCATTTTACCATTTTCCTTTTTAAGGAAAACAAAATATTGGCGACAAGGATCAATATGATACCCAAATATATTTTTATATTGACTTCCCCATCCCGTTAACAAAAAGTCCCAAATAGGCTGTCAGACAGTGGATGAATACCGGAATGAGTCGTTTTACTGCTAAATGCGCTCTATCGTTGAATCAAAGTACATCTTATGAATTGCCTTCTTTACTTATCTGATTATTGTAACTTCATTAAATGTTCATCTCTTTTGCATCAATAATAAAAATATAATACTATTATTGACACATTATTAATAAGGATTCATGCAAACATTATTGATATGCAATGACTTATTCGACATAAATGCATTTAATCCATTTTCAAATTGTTTGATTGTCATCATCAATATCACCAAGCATTGAACGTCTTAACGAATGGCATGTTAAAGATGTTGCCATACGCACTTGAGCAAGCCATGGTTTTTCTTTGAACGAATTTGCAATTGTCAAAGATTTGATAGCCCTGTCTCTAGAAGTTGCACCTTTGTGTTTCGAAACTTGATCTAGTAAAGGCAGAACATAATCCTCCTCTCGTAATCCGTTCCAGTAAAAGAATGGGCGACTCATGTTTTCAGTACTGATTAGAGGGAGAGGAACTGCACCATCGGAGGCTTTTGCTTGAGAAATTAATAAAGCAGATGTCAGTCGCTTCCGCTTACGTGACTTCCGCTCTTGCGTGGTGGCACTTGATTTTTCGGTGTGAGTAGGGGATCTTGGTACTTCAGAGATCATCGTTGATGTTTTTGTTTTATCGAGTTTTAAATTAGACAATGTTTTACTTATTCCTTTATTTGGAGTTTGAAAGAAGTTCTTAGGGTTCTTCATACCGAGATTGGGCGGGTTGTTTTCTTTGACATCTGTTGTATTATCTGTAAACACATTGTCATCAGATGTAGTCTGTTGATCCTTGCGTTTTATAATTGCGGGAAGCTTCAATATAGTTCCCTTGCTTTCAGTTTCCTTATCTTCAAGTTTCAACTTTTCAGGTTGATCCGGCTTCTTTGCTGTTTCCTCAGTTTGCTCTATAGTCTGGTCTCTTGATAAGAGTTGTTTACTTCTGAATGCTGGCTTGGCTGGAGTTCTAATGGATCTTTCATTTGATTCGTCTATGATTGGAGCTTCAAGAACACCCTTTAGTTTGCCTAATATTCCTGTTTTCAACGGTTTTGTGGGTTCTGAATCGTCTTCCGAAATGCTTGTAACTGTACCTCGTCTTGCACGACTTATAACAGAGCCTGGAGGTCCATTAGCTTCATTGTTTGAACTTATTGACTCTAATGTCCTCTGTTTTGCACCAATAATTTTGCCTAATGTAGAACCAGGCTTTTTCGGTAAAGCAGATCCCTCGTCTTCTGATTCTTCTATAGTAGATTTGATACCGGTGATAAATCTGGTCCCCATATCAGTTCTATCCAGAATATTGCCCCACTTGGTGTTTTTCTGTAGTTTCATGTTTTTATAGTTTGTTACTGCCGACATCTGTTTAAAGTATTGTTCTGGATCTTCCTTGTTGATTCCATATACATCCTGAAATACAGACAGCGATTTCTTACGAATGCTTCCGAGTTCTGATCGAGGTTTTCCTGTCATTGGACTGTCAGTCACGCCATTGACGACGGGTATACCAAAACTGACCAGTGGTCCACTGGTAAAGGATTTTTTCTTCAAAGATGATCTTGTCGTTCCATACTTTGCGAAACATCTTTCTTTTGCAATGGTAGCCCATTCTTTGACTTTACTTAAAGTCTGAACAGATAATGCACCAAATTTACCAACAGAAACCTTTGACCATTGCCTTGTTAATAGAAACGAGGCGCACGGTTTAACTTTTTGACGCAAAGCGATATTGAGTGGCGCAAGGTCGTTTCCATTTTTAGCCATGACGCAAGTGATATCGTGATTAACCATTAATCGCAAAACACCAAGTTGATTATTTTCAGTTGCTTCGTGCACAGGTGCTTTCTTTGTTTCGATATGTGGTTCCATTCTCATCCATTGTCGGAGGGGATGTTCGCCGATTTGTTCATCTGCACGGATGCCTTGCTTTATAAGCGATCTAGCTAAATCTACGTTTCCATAATGTGCCGCAATAAATAATGCCACTTTCATTTGAAATCGAGCTATGACTTCTTCCGTTGATATTTGTGCTATCACTTGAGGAGTAAATCCCATTATACAAAGATTTATAAATTCATTCCATCCATCCCAGTTTTCTAATCGAATCGTTTGTCCAGCCTCTACACCATAGTCGAAGAGCTGGTGGTCATCATACAGTTCTTTCTTGTTATAAACGAGACGGAATACTGATACCGGAAGTCCTGATTTCTTAGCACAGAGCGTGCGCAGATCCTCAATTTTCAGTAACGGTACAGACAAATCTTTATCAATAATTTCGATATTTTCATCGTTGTACGTACAGTAGATGAATAACACGGGCTTCACTTCTTCTTTTATGATTACTCTGATAGTAGAACCCGCGGGAATACCGAGATCAGTAAAACACCAAGATTCCTCCAAATCTGCTCCGCCATAATGAAGAACCAGGATATTCCGATCCTTCTTATTCAACTCATCAATGTAAATATTAAATTTAGCCTGAAACAATTTTTTCACATTACCAACTAACGTTCCTATGGGAACATCTAGAGAGCATCGCTCTCCTTCGTATAATCCGAAAACTAACATGGTTGTCTTTCGAATTTTTGCTTTCCTTTTCATAATCTTGATTGCTGCCGCACAAATTTTATACAATTTTAATAACTCCGACGTTGAGAAGATGGATGTTCCCGGAAAGGTGAACTACCAATATTCAAAATGGAGTTTTGACGATAAGTTTAAAATAAACAATAAAATCCGTGTGCCACACTGAAAATTCTGACACTGCCGTTCTTCACTGGAAATCTGCTATTCCTAAAAAGTTAAAAAAAAATATATAAAAATGTGAAATAAATACATGCATATATTTTATAAAGTTAAAAAGTGAGAATACGCGGTCTCTGATTTTGACATTCTATGTATTTTTTGTTTTGTAAAAAAACCGGAGACCATTTTATAAAATCCCAACGAATTGTTCATAGCGACAATATTACATGACATGATACCAGTTTACCATATCATATAGTGCTTTAGTTTCTTTGATACAAAATCCCTGCTCAATAATTATCTCGTTCGAAAAGAAGATCTACAGTGTATATGGTTTCCACATGTACGTGGATATTCAAGTGTACATGTAACATAAAACTATGTCATCCATTCAATATTGTCCGCCGGACAAAATTTCATAGACAATATTTCACTGTGAATTTCTGTCCATGGCAATATTTCACAGTGAATTTCTGTCCATGGCAATATTTAACAATGAAATACTTTCCATGAAAATATTTCTAAAATAATCATGTCTTCCCTGAGGAATCCTTCTCCATAAAATTGTGAGGTTGTTTCTGGAATCGTTTAGGTATTGTTCTTAAAAGGTATTTGGCATGTACAACCGTAAAATGCTACATCAGCTAACTCTCATCTCTAGTACACAGACATGAAGCATGCATATTTTTATATTCATAACTGAAAATATTTTGTAAGGCAAGTATTTTGTATATCAAACAAACATATATTTTATCAGAAGCTTATTTAAAAATTGTATTTATAAATGATTAAAGTCAAATATGTTAATAGTACGTACATATTACACTGTTTAAATACATTATATAAATAAAGTACTGACAATCACTTATAATAAGTTTGTTGTTATCAATAAAATAAAACACTTGAATGATATCATTGTCCAAAATATTAGTTTTTATAACCACCCTTTTATAAGAGAAAATTTCATGACACTCCAGGAACCATGAAATATTGTCTCAAAATACACAACATATAACTTTGGATAACCTCCCTTTAATGAGACAAAATTTCATTACTATCAATCTATTAAATACTGTCCACTATAAACAAAATTTCAAAGACATATTAAATTTTGTCCTTCTCTGGACATTCTTTTATAGATGTGGACAAAATATCATGATACAGAACCATGAAATATTATTTTGGTGGACAAGATTTCATTAGACAATATTTTTCTTCAAATACGTAATCTTGAAATACAAGTTAATTTAAAATATACGATACTGATAAATACAGGTTTAAAATAATTTTGTTTTCATTTATGTCCTTGTTTAAAACAATTTCGTATACGCATTAAAAAAAGAATTCAAGTTCACCTAATGTATCGTCTTCAAAATATGAAAATTCTAGAAAATCGTTGTCGCTTACCTCAGTTGTACGGATAAATTCAATTTGTTTTCCTCTATTGATATAACACTATGTTTACACTTCTAAAATTTTGATTTGAATGACGTGAAATTAACACACGAGATGTAATATGTTGGAACTCGTTTGTTTATGTGCTCCTTGAGGTTACGTTGTTATACATTTACGATCAGTAGTACCTGATTAACGGATTATAGAACTAGTATGAAGTGGATTAATCATAGTAAGAAGTGGATTAATAATAGTCTGAAGAAAACGACAGTGCCAGGTGGATCAATTATAATCATAAACCATTTATATATATATATATAGTCTTATAAAATATTAGAAGTATGATATAATTTAAATGTTGTTTGCTAAACGTCCAGTGGAAAATATGTCATACCGGACGAGTTGCAAGCATGGTGTATGATACATTAAACTGTCCCGTGAAAAAGATTTTATAGAAAAATCGATACAAATTATATACAATTATATTTGATTTCTGCAAAGGCGTCCATATTTTTATGCTAAGTCACTATTAAAATAATTCTTTAAATAAACTCATCATAGATATAAGGCTTAAAATTGTGTACGCCAGACGCGCGTTTCGTCTACAAAAGGACTCATTAGTGACGCTCGAATCAAAAAATTAAAAGGACATAACAGAATTTGGACACATTTTTGTGTAATGGGAGATAACTATTATGACATTTAATTTTTTTATTTAGTTAAAACATTTTTTTTTTAAGAATAGTAAAAGGTTTGGACACAATTTATAACAACATCCGGCGTCCTCTTTCAAATATTTTTGATAGGAGCTTAATATCTTGCTGTCGTATATACATGAATATACAGGTAAAGTAGATATGCGATTGAACAAACAAAAAATTGAATTGGCCCTTATGTTATCTTTTACGATGCTTCTTAATGTTGATAATCAAAAAATATAAAGCAACTAGTAGTAAAACCATACATATACACTACCATATTGCAATATTATGACTTCTTTCGTTCATTTCATACACATTTTTTTTTATATATTTTCAGACAAATATTGCCAGTAGTTTACCAAATTATCTCCCAACAATGGAAACACCTCATGTACCTCCAAATTATTTTGTTTAGGATGCTAACCTCTATTGATTATTTAATTGACCTCTAGAGAAAATGACATGAAACGCATACCCTTTTTCTATTTATAAGTTGGTTGCTAGGTGATACACAAAAATCCAAACGATAAATCAAGCCAAAAAAGGACCTAGACTAGCACAATAAAGTAGCGAGACGACCCAGCCAAAGAGGAACTAGCTTGGCCCAATGTAGTACCACGACAACAACAACACAAAGAAGACATAGCCTAACATAATACAGTACCATGACAACCTCAGCCTTAAGAGGTTCCGAGACTATAAAATACAGAAGCGAGATGGCACCAGCCAAAAGTAGACCGAGACTATATATAAAACAGAAGCGAGACGACACCAGCCATAAGTAGACAGAGACTATAGAAATACAGAAGCGTGAAAACACCGGCCATAAGAGGACCGGGACTAACATAACACACTGTAGCTAAACAAACCCGGCCAAAAGAAACCCGACACTAGCAAAATACAGAAGCAAAAAAACAACATTCATAAGAAGACCGAGACAACCACTGCCAAAATAAGACCGAGTCTAGTAAAATACAGTACCAAGACAGCCACAACACAAAGAATACGTAGACGAGCACAGTAAGGTACCAAGACAACAACAGCACAACGAGCACAATAAAGTACCAAGAGAAACTAAACACAAGAGAACCGAAACTACAATTAGTCGCAAAGATATGTGCACATGTAAATACTTGTATCTCATGTGTTACAGCATTTGAATAACATTTATTTTCGATTAGGAAAACTATTATGGTTCAATGTAAATAACGGTGTTTTTTCTTCGATTTTTAAACATTATTAATATTACATAATTTTATAGAAATAATTAAAAATCATTTTCCATAGTATTTAAATCGTGTTATAACAAAAACTAAAATATGATTACGTGATGCAAGGTCTTGAGAAATTCTACAATGCATATAGTCCTACTGAAATTACCCATAGAGATAATGAGGTTTAGCACAATAAATAGAAATGTTTGCTGTCATCATCTAAAACTCCTTACATCAACAAGCGGACAGAGTAAATACTTTCTTTCAATTTAATATTTATCTGTAGTATATCAAATATATAATATCTATATCGAAAAATGATATTAAGCCCAAAACATAATTTGAGATGATTTTAAAGCTAATATTTAAATAAGCTCGTATTTTTCCAATTAGCTTTTAAAATCACCCACCAGACGGTAACTTTGATTCACAGTTTAAATTGTATTATTCCCTTTTAAAAATAACTTCAACACGACTTTCCAAACAGTAATATAATCCGAAATATTTTTCTTTGCAATATAATTCTATATAATCGACCGAAATTAAGCATAAGATTATAATTTAGGTTAAATCTTTCTGAGAATTATTACAAAAACATTAATTTTAACAAAGTATTTTATAGGAGTAACACGACGGGTGTCACATGTGGAGCAGGATCTTCTTATCCTTTCGGAGCACCTGAGATCACCCACAGTTTTTGGTGGGGTTCGTGTTGCTCAGTCTTTAGTTTTCAATGTTGTGTTTTGTGTACTATTGTTTGTCTGTTTGTCTTTTTCTTTTTTAGCCATGCAGTTGTCAATTTATTTTCGACTTTGAGTTTGAATGTCCTTTTGGTATCTTTCGCCTCTCTTTTACCAAATACATGAAATGTGGCCACATAAAGTACAGGAAACCTAGAAAATATCGTCATTTACTACACTGTTCGGAAACTTTTGGGAAATTTGCAATTTTTTGCACATGGTCTGGTTAAAGAATACGTACAACACACGCAACTGAGAATCAGTTGTGAATCTGATGAAATAATTGGTTACATATGAACAGAATCTAACATTTCCGTCGCAAATAACAAAGATTTGAGCCTTCAAAGTATGACTGACCCCTATTAAACTCAACGAAAGTATTGTAAAACTTTCTTTGAGTAGTATATATATTAATCTGAGATTAGTTCTTTGAGGTAGTTCACGTCATTTTTTAATGAGAAATGTTGGCAAAAAAAAGAGCAATGCCAAAAAGTTTGCCAAATTGATAAAAATATAAAGCGATATATTTAGATTATTGTTTTTGATTAATGAAGTTGAACATTCCACATATTCACTTTTACTACAAAAATGTGTTAAAGAACTTAATAACAACTCGTGCTTTAAAACAGATTAATTAAACAATTAAACGCCTTTATGTCTATATCGTACTGATCCATACTGCATACTGTCCTATTTTATGCCCATTTGTATTAGATTAATAAAATCTTGGCTTAGCTGATTGACAATGGGTGAATATTAAAAATAAAAACAAATTCGAATAACCGACATTGAACAATTTTTAATTAGTGACGAATCAGACAATGCGGCTACGTTTCAATCCATCAATAACATTAGATTAGATGACCACGACCGACCGGTCAGATAAGAACATCAATCTCATGCGGTTTTCACAAAAAAATAATTAGATCCCCTGATTCGCTGTGAAAGACCGTGCCCGGTATATTTTGTAACTGTCATTTTCTGTAAATTTCCTATGA